AGTTGCGAGCGCCGTAAAACACCTACCAACAAAAATTTTATAAAATCTCGATCTCACAATCAACACCAAACTGACCTAGCATGATCACGAGGACAAAATTAAAAGAAATGTTGCTCAGACAGTCATCAATTACAATGATGGGTAAAGGCCTAAATAACTTTGATTTTCTGTACAAAACAAACAATCTAAAAAAATGAAGATAAGATAAGTGACCTCACCCACCAAATGTTACTGGAATTTCAATTTTCGATCCACAGCAAACGTGTATCAAGTTGTTCTTTTGTAGCAAATCGCGATGAAAAAAAAAGAAAGAAAAAGAAAACAAGTGCGTTCACGACATATATTCAGTGGAGTAGCAGACGTTCATAGAAGAGTTGTTATTTTCCTGGAGTTATAGTAGGTCTTTCCTAAAACCACAACGTAGATGTGGAATACTCTGTAAACATACCGTCTCCAGCTGGAAATTATGGTCGCTTTTAAAGACAAGCAGGCTAACCCAGATTTGCGGGGGTTTCCAGAAATCTTGACCTACACCAAAAGTGGATATTGCCCTACCTATAGAAGAAGTTTGGTTTGATTGGTGTGAAAATTTGTTTGATTACTTAGAAAACTCTCCTTGTCTTTTAAAGAAACTGAAGAGGGCGCTAAAATTTACCTTCGATTTTCTCAAAATATAATTTTTCGGGATAGCTCCCTTGTGCTTAAAAGCGACCATGTTCGCCGGCACACATGCGTGACAGAGCCAGGGCCGGGGGACATAGCCAAGATTATTAATCACCTGGAGTCGTACACGAGACCTCCGAGATTTTTCGCCGTTGTCCGAGAAGGCGAGGTGTTAGATCTTACTTATCATAAGATCAGGGGTTTCGCTAAACGACAGCAGAAAGAAGGAGCCTAGGAGAGGCACTAGAAAGGCTGCAGAAAGTCAGGAGCCCAGAAGAAGTGGCAAAGGAGGTGTGGGGGTAGAGAAGAAAAATGTCCCTCGTTATCCGGATTCGAACCCGCGGCCTATTGAATGAGAGATGAACTCCCGTTTTATACCTAAAGTCATTTTAGGTCTCTCCTAATCCCACGACGTAGATGTGGCCTGCTCTGTAAATATTCCGTCTCCCGCTAGTGTATAATGTGTGTTCGTCGGCTCGGATGAATGAGAGAGGTGGGGAGGGTGACATGGCGAAGACAAATCACCTGGATGTCCCGGAGTGTGTGTGCGTAAGTGTGTGTGTGG